TATCTATCTATCTATCTATCTATCTATATATATATATATATATAGATGTGTGTGTGTGTATATATATATATATAGATGTGTGTGTGTGTATATATATATATATACATCTATATATATACATCTATATATATATACATCTATATATCTATACATCTATATATACACATATATATCTATATATACATCTATATATACACATATATATATCTATATATACATCTATATATACACATATATATATATATCTCTATACATATCTATATCTATCTATATATGTATATCTATCTATATCTATATCTATCTATATATGTATATCTATCTATATCTATATCTATCTATATATGTATATCTATCTATATCTATCTATATCTATATATGTATATCTATCTATATATATCTATCTATATATCTCTATATATCTCTATATCTATATCTATATATCTCTATATATCTCTATATCTATATCTTTATATCTGTATATATATCTATATCTCAATCATTCACTCTCGCTTCATTTACAGCTGAACTCGGAGAATGAGTTGGACTTGCTGAGCATCTTGCCTAAAGGATGGCAGACGGATTTCTCCCCCACCATGTACCCCTACATGTTGGTGCCGTCCACCCGAGCCACCTTCCTGGCCCGGAGGTACCGCTTCATCATCGAGCTGGACCTCAGCCCCTCCACAGGGATAGTGGTAAGACTTAAACATGGTCCAGTGGTTGGTAGCTAACTTGTTCCCTGAATGAACGAGGTTGTCACAAATGAGATGGAAAAGTGGTTGAAGTGTTCCTCTCCAAACCGCAAATATATCAATCCATTTTTTTGTTGCTCTGTAAATTGTTCATGGTGGAAAATATATCTCTTGTTATCGTATCTTTAATGTGCTGCTTACAAAAGTATCTAACACCTGCTGGCATTTCAACTTGTGGATTGGATTGGTCATGGCACAAAACAATGATGTCAGTTGTAGTACTTGTGTATACAAAGTTCAGTGAAATTTTAAGAGACACCAGATGCTGTTCAGTAATTGCCATCTTGTGCTCGAGTTATGATAGTACAGTTCTAGTTTGAATATTATGGTAAAGATAATTTAAGGCTGAGGTCTTCAACTTGCAGCTCATCCTGTCAGACCTTCGTGATCCCAACAGGATGGGATGTAATGCCTCGGTGTTCCCCGGGAATTGACCCTTACTAAGTCCCGCCCTGTTTTGTGTCCCTTTTGTTGTTTGCTACGTCTGTTCAGCGGTAACATTACTACGTGAGTCACATGGCGTTGGTATCACAGTCTTCATGTCTGTTCAGCGGTAACATTACTACGTGAGTCACATGGCGTTGGTATCACAGTCTTCATGGACACATTATATGGTCACAGTTACTACATGGAGCGCTTAAGTCAAAGAGCTGCTGTCACTGCATGTCAGAGTGACTCAGGACGGGGTAGCTCCCCTAAAACTACCCAGCATTGTATCTACGAGGCCACATGGAGGTGAGGACTGAAGTAGTATGTTTATGCCTCCGCACTGGAGACAGCCGTGCACAGAGGCATTCTGTTTTCTGGTAGTCTGTACGGGGACATTTCTTCAAATTTGGCACAGATGCTCGCTTGGAATGACGATTGAACTGATTGGGTTTAGGTGGTTTTGTAAACCCTCTGTGTAGTCCAACTCTAGTTGCAAACACAAGACACTTGCAGCCCTTTCATACTGCAGACAGATATTACCCGGATCTACTGAATGTGCATGATGTTTCACATCACATAACACAAGTACCAGAAGAAGTGAAGCTTCACTCTCACTTCTCTCGTTGAGCTCTTCACAGAGAGAGGCTGAGAGAGCAGTGAGCAGTTAGAATATGAAGACACTTCAACTTATTTGACCATCATGAGGAGGAGTGATGCTGGCCCTCACTCCTCACTGATCACTTTCATCTCATCAGATATTAGACAGCTATTTCTGCTGCTCGACACAAACATTGAATGTTGTCT